CCATCATATGATGGAGAGCACCATTAATAATTGGTTTGTTATTTTTCCTTAAATCTCTAAAGTGTTACAAGTACTTTCATGGGATTTCAAGTTTTAACTTCAAAATCTAACAATTTTAGTATCTTCACTTGAGATCTCAGGAGCTAGCAACCTTATACAATTTCAGCTTTTTTAAAAATGATTTTTAGGTGTTGTCCATGAGTGTGATTTTTCTGATTCAGATTATGTTTAACTATTACACATGGTCCTCGTTTAACAATTGCAATTGGATTGGCAACTCAGTCATTAAGTGAAGTGGTTGGTGTACTTAACATTTTACTTCAGCTTTCCCTTGCTTTAAGCTTTAGACGGGTTTGATTCCAAACAGTTGGTGAGTCCAAATGGTAAGAAAGATTTCCAGAACTTGTCTCATGAGAAAAAAACAGGTAAAAGAGCAAATCTTATAGCTCTTTGGAATACATACCCTGATGCTTAAATAATTAGAAAGTGGTTAATCTTTGTATTTACATGTATTGGAGAGGAAAGGATTACAAAAGAGTTAAGTAGATACCCAATTGTGAACATGTGTTGAAAGGGATGTCTGTAGTTAGTCTAACACTTTTTAGGGATGCGCTGAACTATGAAGAAAAGCAACTCAGAAACAAATAAACTGGTTTCGGCAATCTTTCTACTCTCCATTAGTGGTAGGGTAAGGGGGGAGGAGTATGAGTCTGGCACAGGACAAGCAGTACTGACTGCAATGACAAATGTATGATTGAGAAAAAGTCATTTGTAAATATGGGCATAGGTTGCAATGTTACTTTTTCAGCAGTGCCATAACTGCAGTGCTGTCAAGGCAGTTGCCAAACAAGCATTATCTGTAACAATGTTTTATTTAGAAATTTCCCTATTAACTTCTCAGAGTTTAGTAGGCCCATCAGTCATCAGAAATATCATGTGATTAATTAATAATAGTTTACTTTAGATTTTGTTTTCTGTAATTAAGATGAACTTACCTAGTATCAGCAATGTCAAACCATTGAACAAGGCACCAACATAGGTAAACACCCACATCAATACTGCAAACTGAAAGGAAAAAATAATAATGAAACTACACCATAAGGAATATGTGCTTAAAGCTCATAGCAATTCTGTTACTTGACTATATTAGCAGTACAAACATAAGGTGCTTTGGTGGGCTTCAAGCTACACCAACTCACAATTTACAAATAATTATACCAGTGATGGCTAATCTTTTTTGGATAGCGTGCCAAAAGTGAAGGGAACAGAGGGGGGCTTGCGCAGGCATGCACGCAACCCGAGTGCACATGTGTGCGTGATCGACCGTGGGCGCAACCAGCACTTCACCCCACCTCCCCTGCTTTTGGCGTACTTTTTTCACCCTCCCCAGGGTCCAGAGGCTTTAAAAGAAGGGTCAAAGTCACCTGACAGGGCAACGCCTCGCGTGCCCTAACAAACGGCTCTGCGTGCCACCA